CAACTGGCGAGCGTGTTTCAGAAGGATCCTTACAGAAGCTGACAACGATGGGTGCGGAAATAGCTCACCGAAGAGCATGCGCTCGGCTAGGCGGTCTTGATCAGCCTGTGGGAGTGTTGTCAAGTTAGGGCATTGAGGGTGGCATTGCCGCTACGAACTTACCGCTGGGGTGAGGCTGTCGCAGGACTGTCTGACCACTTGATCCGGGTGGCGGCCTGACAAATTCGAAGCTACGGAAGACTTCATGGGCCGCGGTGATGTGCCGAAGCTCGTGAGCGCAAACAAAGACGAGAAGCGTAGTAGCCAGCGGGTACAGCCTGTCCGCCGCGAGAGTCGCCACCACGCGTCACCGTAGCTAAGGCGCGCGTTGCGAGTGCCCAAAACACCACGTCTGCGGGCGCGCAAGTGGCAAATAGCATGGTAAAGGCCACGAGCGGCGACAGGCGGGCTCCAACGTAGCTCAACACCAAAGACGCAAGCAGCCAGCACGTCACGATCACAAGGCAATGCAGAGAAGGCTCTTCTTCCTCAGCGACCCGAGCAAGTCGAGTCGACCAACGAAAAAGAAAACTGGAATTCGCATCAGCCCCAGACAGTGCAATAGAGGCGACACTGTGACCAGTGACAAGATAGGCGGCGCCCAGAGGCCACCGGCCAGTTTCCAAAAACTAGATTAATCAAGAAAAATGCCCCCGTAGGGGCGTTTTAGAGATTAAACTAAAAAGAACTGCTACTGCAATTTATCTTAGCCAAAATGGCAAGAGAGCTTAAGAAGAAAAGAAGAGACGGAGCTGGGCGGAAGGGAGGGGTTTATAAAGGTCTGGCCGCGGCATGCGCACGGGGCCATCACACCGGGCAACGCCTAGCTAAGCGAGTGATGGGGTGCATGCTACCCTCTATTTCGGCAGGTACGCCACTGGGCCATGGTTGCCTAGGGCGCTCACTCTTGTGGCGGTCCAATGGAATGCCCTGGAAGCTGCCATGACGTAGGAAGTGGCACTCCAGCGAGAGCAACAATCATTTTTACCGTGAGTGCGAGCGCAGAAGCTACAGCCCATGTCCGGCAAAAGCTGCTGTAGAGATCCTCATGCTCTTTACTTGGAGACTCAAGGACTTGCTGTCCAGCTCGTTGACGCCCGTAGCCACCAACGTCCATCTCTTGCGCCCTCGAACCGCATGCCCGGTCTCAAGCAACATTCATTGCGTCTTCGACCGTGAGAGCTCCCTTTGCTGGAGCATCGAAGAGTTTGCACCAGGCGCTGAAAGTTCTGCCGCCAACATCGCTGCAACCGACCACTAATATCTCGCTCCACGGAGCTCTCTGTTCGGTCTACATCACTGCACAGTCTCCTCGCGTCCATGGTGAGCCAATAACTCCTCTCCTCCGCCCACCAGCCAATGCGCCACACCGAAGTCCTGCATCGAACAACTCGCTCTCGCTCCTTAGCACCGCGATCGCCGTCTCACGACCTATGCCCCAACCCAATCCCACCCAACCGCGCAACCGCATGCCGACACTCCGATAAACGTCCTCACGAGCACGGCATCCGCAGTGCTACTTCATATAACAGGGGGACCGGAAGCACCGACTTCGCCCGAGAGTGTGCCCGGCTGCCACGACCAGGGTGAGCTGAGCAGAATGGAGACTGGCGATGGTGGCGCCAGCCGGTCAGCTGAAGATACCGCATGCGCACCGAAGCGCATGGCGCAGGCATAGAAACAACGCGCCTTGTACGGCTTGTCGCTCACGTCTACGATCAGCCCAAAGCCCCGAATAAAGCAACGAAACTCCGTTGGTTCTGTGGACTACGCGGCGGACTTCATATGGTAGATGGAATCACGGACGCCGGAAGAGTTCGCTAACCATTCCAGGATGCCATCCGTCGTCGAGAGTGTCATGCCTCTGCGAGGTCTTGAGCACTGGGGGTGGTGGTCTCCGGAAGAAGGCGGGTGAGTGGTGCGTAAGCAACCCGCTGCAACGGGCTTTGTCCAGACACTTACAAGAGAGCACACAGTCTATAGGTCTCCCACGAGCCGTTGGAAATGAGCGGACAGAAGCTCCCACTTACGAAAGTGATCCTGCAAAAGAGCGCGACCTACCAGATCTATCACTACGCACTCAACGCCCATACGCCTTCCCATCCATCAGCCTCGCCAGTCCTGGAAAGTCAACTACACAGGAATGGAAACATGGCAGAGAATCTGGAGTCGCACGGATGGCACAGCGAGTCATCAAAGCGGAGAATATACAGGCTGTTTGTACTAAGAACAGGGACCCCCTATTGAGGAAAGCTATGGGGCGGGCCAGATGGCGAACGGGACTCAAGACAGGTTAGCGATGATGAACAGCTTGGACGCTGGTTCAGCAAAGACGACAGTGCAAAAGGACTGACCATTTCGAGGCCGCTAAAGCCGGAAGATCCCTGCCGATCGCCTATCCAGCGGCACCGAGGACGGAAGACAGAACGCGGGCGGTCGACGGACAGCCTTCAGCCGGGCGAAATTCCATCTCTCCTTTATTCCTTTGTCTTCTTCTCACTCTGTACGTTGTTCTGTCTCTCCTCTAAGTCTCTCCATTGCCTTTATCCCTCGAGTGTGCTATCCGAACTCTCCATTAATGGCGATATGCAGTACGACGTTCCTCTACATCGAAAACGGGCACCGCTTCCTCGGGCATGCCGAGCATGTTCAATTCAATGGCAGAATTGTAATTATTTGGTTCCCGCCGCGGTATAAGTGCGAAGATACTAGTAAACGGCTGCGTGAGATGATTCGGGCCCGGACGTCAGACTACATACATCAGCATAGGGTTCGCGACACGGTGGAGAATCAGCCGTGGAAAGATACGAGGCTTAGATCAAGGCTATTGCTTGTACAACGGAGAGAAGAAGATGATTTACAGGTCGAGCGGTGAGACGGTAATGGTGGAACAACGCCGCTCTTTGTAGGCCCGCGCGGTGGTGGAATAGAGGTGGTAAGGTAGAGCGAGCATCTAGAGTGCTCGTTGTCGGAAGAGCGGTCATTATTGTCAACATACATTTTGGCAGCTACGCAGGGTGGAGGAGGTAATAAAGCAGTCCCTCCGTGTGTATCTTTTAGACCCCGTCAGTGGACCAACTACCCCGAAGTAAGTCATCTAACAGAAAGAAGGTTAAGGTATTACGTTCGTTCATCCCTTCGGTAGCCCCTCTATCTCCAGAAATACCGAAACTCTTGCCCTCTCTCCTGCATTCAAAGTTCAAACCACCCCCTCCATCCTTTCACAGCGGCGGAAGACCTCCTTCAACGTCAAGGCTGGTCTCACTATCACAGTTAGTTGCAGGGCATCTCTCCTCTATATGCTTCGCGGGACAGGTCACGTCCTATTTCCAAGATCATTCATACCAATATCCAGTCGTCGTCTCATGCTTTAAAACCTTCTTCTAAGACATCAAGCCGTGAGATTTAACCACCCGCGCTAGTAGTGTCCCATGTCTCTTCGGAAGAAATGGTAGAGTACCCCGCCTTCCTAACTACATTTCCATACTAACAACACAACAGTTATCTATCATCGACTCGAACGCTGCTACTCACACCCCTTTCGCCCTTTAACTTGTCGCAGGCACCGGCTGGCAACACCGCATCTTCAACGGTACTCACTTCGTCACAGATAACATACGGAGCGATGTGCGTAATATTTAGGGAGATTCGTGGAAGCGGGCGTGTTGAAAGAACAGCCGTGCTCTGAATTGGGATTGACAGCCTTCGTCGTCAAGTTTCGAGTCAGAGAATCACCTCAAAGAAGCGGAGCTTGCAAGATGGAACGAAAGTATGCTAACGCTCTTAGTAGGCAATGCTTACGATGTGCGCCAAGGTACGTACAACAAAATCGGGATTAAAACCGGAAAAAGACAGCAAGGAAATCTTCGACATAATTTGAATCAAATTAAAAGCCTTCCAGCTGCGGGGAGGGCCAGTGGCGTTCAGTATACCATAATTGCCCCGCAGCGGCTGCCTCCAACCACATAAATCAACAAGACACATTGCCAGCCGCGATCAAGAGGGAACTAAAGAGGTACCAGGAGGAATGCCTTCAGTACAACTCTTCGGCGCCATCTCCCACACAGCCGGATCAACAATGTAATCTAGGCGTAGCCTGGAATTAGAGAAAATGCGAGAAAGAACCATGTAAAGTATGCCCTAAAGACCATGAACACGTTGACGCCAGTGACCAGGAATACCATCTCAAACCCGCTTGATGGGAGAAGGCGCTTTCAAATCAAAGACTTGAGAAGTGGAACAGTGGTATATTTCCAAATAGGCCATCGATATCTATTAGCGAATAAGAGGTTGTGGCAATGCCGGTTACAATCATGTCGACCCTATACTTAGTTTGATGAACAATCAAATGATTCTCCAGGCTGTAAAAATGATCTTCAAGAGGATATCATATGCTTAACATGGCCCAGGCCCGCAGCAAGCGCAAGACGCTTCGTAAAATCATAGCCAAGCCCCTTACAAGCCAAGATTTCGAGCTCACTTACCCAAATTAAGGCAAACAGGCGCATTACTAAATAGACACATCCTTTACCCGCTCATTCACAGCCGCTTGTTAAACCGAGTTGAGCATCCGTAGCTTGCTCTTCATGACATACGTGTTCTCCTATCGAAGACAGAACTTTTCGAATCGCCTACCCTAAACAAATTTGTTGGCTTCTTCCATTTAACAACTTTCTAAGATATGTTGAAGTCCTTTCTCGCAGTTCACGTATATTTTCAATAGGATAATGAAAAAGGATGAGCTTCTATCTCTCGTATGTACTGTATCTCCAAAGTTTGCAACAAAGGTTCGACGATATCTTTGCACCTCCGTTGTCTTCAAAGTCCAGTAACACCAAAGAACACACTGAAGCCACACCCAGGTACATCATGGAACCCATAGTACCTGTTTGTCCCAAAGTCTTCCACTGAAGGGTTCCCAAATCTCGTCATAGTCTGGCCAACCCTCTTCTATCCTCGCGTTAGAAAGTCGCCTCGTCAAACGCCCGAAAGCGGACGCAACAAGGCTGGGTGCCCTTCCTGCCCTTCGCCGTAACATCATGGAGCCAGTTGACGACACAGCCCTTACACATAACATGGCCACACTCCTTAATGCCCATGGGGTCCTTCGCAAAAGCTCCAGGGCTGATCCTGCCGCCATCGCCAGCCGCCTACCAGTCGTTAGCCACACCTCGACACCGATTGATCGGGAAAAACAACGGCGACTTGCCACAATGTAGAACAGCCGCGCGCAGTTACCACACCACTGCTGGTTCATCCCCAAGTTCCCCGTCTCCAAGCCGACCGCCACACGCGCCATCTCGTGGCTCTCAATCCACGCCATGGTGGCGAGGAGGTTGTCGGGGGTGAGGTAGTTGATGACGGCCTTGAGCCGCAGCAGCTGCGCCGGAGCGATCCTGCGCACAAGTGGTCAGCAACATCCCTTCTCTCGCTCCCTGTCTCTCCCATGCAGGGCATAACACAAGCGGCGCACTCACAGAATCTCGCCGCCCAACCTCCCCACAACGATATCCCCGACTCCATCCACAAACGTCCTCGCCTTCTCCTTCATGCCGCGATCAATGCCATCCTCGTCGTTGTCGTCATCGCCCCTCAGAAGCCCCATGTGGAACTCGATCGCGCGCCGCACCAGCGCCAGCGCCCGCCAGTGGAAGGTGCCCTTCATGGCGGACAGCTCGAGCGCCGGGCGGGCCGCGATGTCGACGATGTAGCCCGTGTGCGTGGTGTACTTCGTCTCGTGGATTGTGATGGCGAGGGGGCTGGCACGGCCGTGGGTGGGCAGGTTGGTGCTGAGCTGGCTGTTGGAGCTCATGTCGCTGTTGGTGTTGGTGGTGTCGACGTTGTTGACGCTGTCGGTGCCGCTGTTGGTGGTGGCGGCTTCGGGGCCGAGCGGCGTCGCGGATGAGGTTGAGGAGTCGGAGGGGGTGGAGACGCACGATTGCGGCGGGGTGGTAGTGGAGAGGGATAGGTATGATTGTCTCGGGTCCATGGTGAGCTCGACTGCGCGGTTGCGAGTGAGAGTGCAGAAGTTCGTGGTGTAGGATAGCGAGAGCGGTGGCGGCATGGTTGCCGGTGGAGGCGTGTTGGGTCTGATTGGATGTTTGGAGGCGATGCTGGGAGGGTTTTGAGCACCAGGTCGGGCGGGTGACGGGGTCCGCGAAGTTGTGTTGGGTTGGATCCGAGGCACGCTGGAGAGGCAGAAGAGGGTTGCGGGCGACAGTTACTGTAGGCCGGCGGCGGCGGAGACCCCGACCGGGTGAACAGGATGGAGGGTGGTGAAGTGTTACCACACAGTGGCTGTCACCATCGTGAGACTTCATGGCGGGCTGTTTGCTTTGAGCGAGACACGGTCACGCAGGAGGGAAGCTCGTCGAGGATTCATGAATTTTCCGATTGTACTCGAGCTTGTGGGCCTGAACAGGCCGGAGCAATCACTGCCATGGCCATGGGCAACGGCGCCATGAGATTCCCCATCTGGTGTGAGTACAGAGAAGTGGGCTGGTATCACCAGTCCTCCCCGCTAGGACTGGCAATTTGAAAAAGGTAGGCGTAGTAGCGTCTGAGCGGGATCTGACGTTGTTGCAACGCAGGCGTGGACGCCGCCCAAGCCATCACGTGCCATGAGGGCCCTCCCGGCTGCCGTACTGGGCCATGCTGGATCAACTGCGCCCTCCATACTGGGTTTAGCGTCTCGCTTGTGTGATGCGGCCATGTGATGCGCCCAGCCGGCGTCCCTTAAAACCGTGCCTACCTTCTCTCTCACTCCTTTCCTTTTCTCTCCTCCACTTTAGCTCATGAGTCAATGTGCAGTGGCATGGACTTGAAACTGAAGCGCTTGGCTGTTTTCATCGCCTTTCGCTGCCATCAAGCATCCAAAAACAATTGTATTACCAGCGTTCCCTTATGGCGAACCGGGCAACTCCTACCTAAAAGGGCCGCGAGTTTGAAGACATCGACTCAGCGGACTGCTCAGTACGGAGACATTAGTCGACTTGAAATCAATCTTTCCATGAATGAGATCTTCTTGATGTTGTGACTCACTCTGTCTTTGCCTGGCCCACTGGCCCCCAGTCTTCCTGACTTCTGCGCTTCTTGACTGCTCATCCTGCTTGGCCTGCTGTCCACTCCACCTCGAGCCTTGTGTTGTGTCGCAAATCGCGGCGTGGTTGACTCGGTTGCAAAGTTCGCGGTCAGCCTGCTCGAGCTTAAACCTCCGCGTCTTACTTGGACTATGTCCGCCCTGCGTCTACGGCACCGCGTCTTTGTCTTCGACCTGTCTTGGTTTCACCGTGAGACTGGAGGCAAGCTGCGGTCATGGACCCTACATCCATCAGCGGCTGGAGTACGCTCACCACTGACGCCAATATAACCTCACTTAAGAAGATCTCGTCCAGTTCGGGTGCCGTGCTTCACATGTTGATTCCAAAGGAACTGAGACGACATGCATCTATTTGGAAGTGACATCCTGTCCCAGCCATATAGGCCGCCGATACAACATTCAGACACAGATATACCAATCCAAACCTCACCTGTATATTCAAACGTCTACCTCACCCTCCTTACGCGTCCGATCTCAGAAACATCTAGCAAAATATGTCCTCGTGCCCTCCCACATCCATACCCTTCATCTCCATTTAAATACCTTCCCCTCCCCAGAACCCCTCCGTCCCGCTCCACCATCACCACGAACCACCACCGCCACCACAACACCAACACCAACACCAACAACAAAAACAACACCAACAACAAAAACAACACCAACAACGTCTCCCCTCTTCCTCCTCCCACCACCAACCATGTCTCCTCCTCCTCCTCCTCCCACCTTCTCCTCCTCCTCCAACAACAACAACAACAACAACAGCGGCAGCGGCAACGGCAGCGGCAGCGGCAACGGCAACGGCAGCAACAACAACAACAGCAACAACAACAGCAGCAGCGGCCCCCCGCCCGCCCGCATCTTCGTCTGCCGCCTCGGCTGCGGCTGGCGCGGCACCAGCGGCTACAAGCACCAGGGGCACGAGCGCAAGTGCCGGCTGGGCCGGGGCGGTCCCCACCCGCTGCGGCGGGAGATCGACCGCAAGCTGGCGGAGAGGAGCGAGGCGGAGAACTTGGAGGAGTGGCGGGGGCTGTTGGGTTTGCAGCAGGGGCAGGGGCAGGGGGGTGGTGCTGGTGGGAGCGGCGGCGGAAGTGGCGGCGGAGGCGGCGAGGGGGTGGAGATGGCGGCGGAGGGGGAGGGAGAGGTGGTGATGGAGATGGCGGAGGAGATGGAGGTGGAGGAGGAGATGGGGCAGCAGCAGCAGCAGCAGACGGAAGGGGAGGAGATGGATGTGGATGAGAAGGAGACGGTGGAGGAGGGGGAGAAGGAGGAGGAGAAGATGGAGGAGGAGAAGAGGGACGAGGAGGAGGAGGAGAGGGAGCAGCAGGACCCCCACGCTGCGCAGCTGGCGCAGGTGGTGATTGAGGGTGGCCCGGCGGATGCTGCGCAGACCGTCTTCATCAAGGTCTGGGATCCGAATAGTGGATCAGTGGTGGAATTCACGTTGGACGACGCCTGGCTCATCATGGAATGAGCGAATGAATCCCGGGAACTTGCGGTGGGCAGGCGTTGTGGGTGTTTTACAGGTCTTAGCACCTTCGTCGACCAGCGATACCCTTTCTTTTGCACTTGGGTATGCCATTTGCCATGCGAGTTTCGCATGAAAAGTACTTCTTTCACGCCTCAGTATCCCTACAGCCGGTGATGACATAGTGAGTCGTAGATGCAGGTCAGGCCCATGTGACCTCTGCCATTAATGGTTGTGCGCGCGCAGTGCCAGATATCGACACAAGCCTTGCGCTGTGACCTTTACTACCTCTGACACCATGGACCACAACAACATCTGCCCTTTCCTCTACATCCCGCTCCCGACCTCACCGTTTTCCAGCCAGCCCTCCACCGCCAGTACCGAAGCACTGTCAAAGACGGACACACGTTGGCAAAATCTCCAGGCCATGTCTTCCTCGAACACAGGAAGCGCTGCTTCTTCTTCTTCCGTCGACGCATCCCGGCCAAGGGGTATAGCAACACTCGTTCCGCCCTCAATGGCGAACAGGGTGCCTCGACAGCCGCCCTTCCCCTATCCGAGTGACGACTCACAGCCGCGCCGTTACTTCACAGCCGGTGTAGGCGTTGGACCTTTTGACAACCCGGCAGGTGGCTTTCGCAGCACGGCCTCCGCCTACGGTACGTGACAGCGCGCGCCCGCCATGGTCAGAGCCCGCCGACAACCAACCCTCCTCTTTGTCCTTTGCCATGCTTCCGCGAAGCCCCCCGACCGTATCCACGTCCACGCCCGCGCCATTGTCAGACGCGCGCTCCGCTAACACGCCCATAGAACACGCCGCTCTGCTCTTCCCGGACGTCCGCAACCATCATATCCGCATCACCGCGCTCCAGCTGGTCAACCGCACCGTGTACCGCGCCGCGCTGTACCTGATGGAGCAGCCGACAAACCTGCATCTCGATATGCACACGCTTGTCTCCGCCCCCACCGCCACACCCGCCGAAGGCAACAATGACGAGGGCGTCAAGACTGAGGGAGACACGGCCGAGATGGATAAGGCCAAGATAGACATGGCTGAGGAGCACAAGACCGAGGAGGACAAGGTTGAGGAGGACAAGATCGAGGAGGGTATGACTCAGAATGGCAAAGACGATAGCAAGGACAAGGCTGATGCCAATGTCGTGAACAAGGACAAGGACAAGAACGATAACATCAGGACTGGTAGCATCAGCAAACACCCCGGCGACGACGCCAAATACAGAGCCGGCGTGCCTGAATTCGTGCAGCGGCTAGTGGTGGTGGCTCCGCCGTATGATTCGGTGGATGGGGCGGTCGAGTGGCTGAACACAGTTTTGGCGGACAAGGTGAAGGTGATGATGATGGAGAAGATGGCGATTGAGAAGGGCGTGGGATCGCGTGCCGATGGCGGAGTGATGTGAAGGGATGATAATGACAAGAAAACCGGTGCGAGAGAGACGTGAACCACGGCTCCACAGCCTGGATCACCCTTGGCGGATTTGGAATCAAGTTTTCGTGCGGCGAGGTGGTTTAACCGGGCAATAGTGAGGCGTCCGGCTTGGCACAATATAGCTTATAGGGTATGAAGGGCCTGGTCACTCCATCTTTTGCGGCCTTGGCAGAATGAAAGGAGAGAAATTCATGAAGATGATGCTAATCCCAGCCCCAACTCGGTCGCACATGCAGACGTGCGGACAATAGCGTACAACCAGCACACGCAGAATAGCTCAGTAAGCCATGCGCAGAAGACACATGACGAATCAGAAAAGCCAGGAACAACGGGAGTCGGAGCTGTTGTGTCTGCACGAAGACCAAGGAGGAGAGACAGTGGAGACAAGATGAGGTGGAAATAGACACGACGCTAGCGAAGAGGATGCATGCAAGTGTGACGATTGGGCGGGAATAAGTGCGGCGCGGGGGGCACAGGGCGGCATCGGCAACGAGCCGAGAAACAGCATCGGGGCCTGCGGCGTGGCAAAGAGGCAGTGGCAGGCCGTTGCAATACTCGGCTTGCGTGGGATCGCCGAGGCCCAGAACGGGCGATGGCGACGTTTCCAGCGGCGGGTGCTTCAGTTGCATGAACGCGGATCGGCGGCAGGGGTGCAAGGCTATGTGGTTGGTTTCCTCTGGGCTGGCTCGGTGGGCTCCTGCTTCTGCCTCGCGGCAGCCTCATCACTGTTACACAAGACGGTAAGCGAATCCAATTTCTCCAGCCATGCCGACCGGCCACGAAGCCATGTTCCTGCCGCCTGCCGCCTGCCGCCTGCTGCCTGCCTGCCGCGCCCAGCAGTACTTCAGCCGCGCCATCCCCATCCCCATCCCCCGCCGCCGCCGCCGATACTGACTTCCCTCAGCCCGTCTGCCGTGCCAGCAGCATGTGAAGCACCCAGAATCCCACCCGCGCTGCACGAGCGCCCCGATGCGGACTTCTCAGCCACGGTAGCCCCGGCCTGCCTGATGATCTTCACTTCTTCCAGCCGGGCTGCTGACTCCTCTGCCCGCGCAAGAGCTGAGCCGCAGGGCCTCGCAACGCCGCACCGCCAAGAGAACGCCGCGGGCTGCCTCAGCAGCGTCCTCGGCGGCGCCGTCGTGGGTTGGTCGGCCAGACGGCCGGGCTGATTGCTGCGGGACGGGCCCGGCGACCGGCAGGCAGCGGCGCATGCCGTCGGAAAGCGTCGCAAGCGATAAGGTGTCTCTGCCCTCTGGTTGCTTCTCGCAAGGCAGCTGCACTAACAATAGCCACAGCGGGCGCGAGATCGTCGACGGCGGCCATTTCCTCCAGTGAGGGCTGGTGACTTCGACACCGCAAGTCCACGGCTGACCGCAACTGCCGCGCCTGGCCGCGGCCGGCCTCTCTCACGAGCTGCTGGGTGCGGCAGGTAGCGTCGACGGGCTTTCACCGCAACATGAGAACGTGTCGTGGTGGGGTCCTAATGGGTGTTGCAAAGAGCCGTCTCCGCAGCAATCTCGCGGCCGCCGGCGCTTAACGGGGGCGGGCTCCGCGTGACCGCTGTGGCAGCTTCCGGACGGGCCGCACTCGACTTCATAAAGAGCCTGGGGCCCGGCCTTGGGCGGTCGGGGCTTTGGCGAGCACGGCGGCATGTTTCCTGTTGACGAGGGGCTGCCGGCCACAGGCGAGCGGGCACGCACAACACCGACGGCAATCTCACGTAACAAATTCGCCGCCCCAGGCCCGCGGCCACGGCCTCTCCGCGACGGACCAGACCTCCCCCCAACCCGGCCTTCGGGCACGCCAGACGGTCATGGGGATCGCCTGCTTTTGCGGCCCGACCCTTGGCCGCCACACCCCGCGACGTTCTCGAACTTCCATCGCCCTGCTGTCGCCGCCAGAGTTAGTCCTGATGCGAACAGTGGGAACCTGACTCGTCGCCACCACGAGGACAGAGGACCGCAGACTTAAAGGCAAGTGTTCCGCCAGCGCCCACACCCCCCTCCTTCCGACCCGCCTCTCGCCCGCCGCCGCCGACCGACCGCCCCGCCCGACCAGACTGCCGTCGCTTGCTTCCGGAGATGGCAGCGCCGAGCCTACCGCCCGGCTGTGGCTTGGGATTGCCCGGATTGCCTGTGGAGCGGGCCCGAACCACACCTCGGACGGCCTGAGATGACGCAGGCCGGAGAGCCGCAGCACGTGGACACGCGCGGCTGCCGACGCTGCCGACGCAGGCGCACTGCAGGCGCCCGCCGACGCGAACGCGCTGCCGGCGGCGGCATCGACGATGGGCGCGCTGGCCTGCTCCAGCATGCCGTGTCGCCGTGGTCGGCAGCGGCTGACGTTGGAGGCTCAAGTCGGCGGGCGGCGCCACATCACAGTGCAGCAGCGGGACGCCAGGGCGCGGGCGCAGGGGCACGGCAGGGGCCCTCGCCTTGCGGGTTCAAAAGGGCATTACGTCGTCGGCAATCGCGCGTAGGCTCAACTCCAACTCCATGGGCAGTCCGTGTCACGTCGTCTGACCGGGTGCATCCGCGATCCGTAAGTGCCCGGACGGTCGCCTTGGCAGGTGGGCTGCTACGTTGCTGACACGGGCCTACAGACGGCTGCCACTGCTAGCCCGAGGATGTGCGACGCGCGACGCCCGCTCCCATGGTGGGCGATGGGAGCAGTCGCCTTTGGCCTCGCAGCGGCACCGCAGGCAGGAGAGTCTGTCCGCCGCTCGCTGCAACCGTGGGCCGGCGGCCGCCCGGCAAGCGCGCGTGCCGCACCGCCCCGTAGGCCAGCGGCTCGGGCCGCCTGTGTTCGAGCTGAAGCTGGGCGGCGCAGCTCAGGTGGCCAACGCATCAAGCTGCCACGGTGCCACGGAAGCGAGCACCTGCCAGCACACGCCCTCGGCGCGCGAGTCCCAGGGCTGCCAACTTGGCTAAGCTAGCACTTGCAGAGGGCAGGGATCAGGGGGGCTGGTTGCAGAAGAGGCCGGCGGAGGTGTCAAACGGATGGCCCGCGCTTGCTTGGTGCTCCCCGCAACACCACAGCCTGCGACGGCTGCCCCCAAGGCCGCCGGTCAGACACCCCCCGTCGGTGTGTCGCAGCAGCCGCGGCGCGTGTCGACGCTGGCTCCTAGCCTTGCCGCCCGGCGCGCTGCTCTCCCGTCGTGCGTCCCTAGAGCGCGTGCCGCCCCGACCATGACTCGGCGGCCTATGGGGATCATGCGTCTATTGGATCTGCGCCGAACAACGCTCAGACGCGGCGGTACGGTGAAAATTATCAACAGCGGGCTCCACCATCGCCATACCGCTTTTTCCCGTGGCCCGTGGCCCTGCGCATCAGTCGGCCTTCTTTATTGTGGCCAATTCGCCTCCCACACCAAGCCAGACATCGACATTCGCCTCCGCCCTACACGACTACCGCTTTTGCTTTCCTACGGTCCTTTCTGCTGTTCTGCCGTTCCTTCGCCGCCCCCTTTGATATCTCCCAAATCGTATGTCGACCGCCGCCCGCCCCCACCCCCGCCCCGCCGTCGCCCGAGCCGCGGTGCTGACTGAAGACAGAAGATGAACTCCAGCCGCTCAAGAAATCCCTCCATCCCGACCATGGTCGACATGGGCCGCGGTGGCTACGACACCACGGGCACCCCGAAGCCTCCTCGCAACAACCACCCCAGATAGCAGGGTCCCCGCCCGTCCGGACCCTCGCGACTTCATTATTCCATCCGTCTCGAATCAGCCAAGACGCGCCGCAAGGAAAGCCGCCCACTCAGCAGACCAGCGTTCCTTCGGGCGCTTGCTACTGCACCACTCCCGAGAAGGCGCCGACTTTTGCCACCGAGTCCACCATCCGCCAACTCATTCTCCACGAGCAACGCACGCGACACACGACTCCTCACGACTGTCGATGGCCAGACCGGCCGCGCATCTCGCAATCTCCACCACTCACACACCTCTCCTCCTACCGAACTCGCTCCTCCGACCTCGGCTCCCCCGGGCCTTTTCCTTATCTGCTGCTCTGATTTTTTACGTAAGCCTTGTACTGTGGAGGAACGACATGTAATGAGCGCACGAGTTACGGCGATATGCGTTTGTGTTTCAACGAACTGGACGGAAAAGGGATTTTTTGGGAGGGCTTTCTCTCGCTTCAAAGAAAGGTCAGCCGGTGTTATTGCGTCTTTGATCATTGGGTTGGCATCGCATTGTTTTGCTGGGTTTTTTCTTTTTCTGTTTTGCATCTGCATCAGCTCAGCGTCTGGGTTCATCATCTCTGTCTTGTTTTTCTGTCTCCGTATTCCCCGCCGCATAGCCTGGATTGTGTTTCCACTTTTTTTTTGTCTTTTTGCATCGAGCGTTTTGTTTATTTTTTTTATCCCGCATGCAAGAGAAGGAGTCACCGGCGCAGAATATGACAACTTGCTTGGTTTCTTCTGCTTTCTGTGCTAGAGAAAGGAGTTGGGAAGGGGGAGAGACCGTCCGTTTCAAACCGGATGGGGGAGGATTGATACCCAATAGCGCATCAACGACATCAACGTCAAACTTTTTGTTCCTCATGGCAAAACATCCATCATCGCGTCGTGGTCACGAGTTTCTGTGTGTGCGTGTGCGTGTGTGTGCGTTGTACAATATAGACGAGTTTGCATGTCCAGCCTATCGATCCGCCTTCCCCTCTCTCGCTTTCTCGGACTTTGCGGTTTCCCGGCTACGGCTAACCGATCATCATCATCACACCACAGCCGTCCCACCACGCACTCTCAACCATGAGCGGGCATGAGAAATGACAACAGCAGTAACTACTAGCCCCATGCGACAGGTCCGCTTCGTTATGCGGCCTTTACAACCAACCCTGCAGGAGTTCGGCTACTCATACGCCGGCGTAGTAGCTGCTGGTACCCAAGGGCTACATGATACCACGGAACCCTATTCGCAGCAACTCAGCACTCCCCAAAAATCGACATCCGGAACAGAACTTTGATGCGTA